CTTGCAAACCAGAGGCTAAGATTCTTTTTCTTAGGAAATGTTTGTGTAATAATTCTCAAACAGATTTGTAAAAATGAGAGCTAGCACAAAGGGTGAATTTTGTGGAATAAATGGCTTGCTACAAACAGTTCATCCAGGGGTATCTGCAACTCAGAAGAAGGAAGAGCTGCCTGGCAGTAGCTCAGAACATCCACACCACTCTTTTCAGGGCAGCTCATCATACCAAAAGCTTAGGCAGGAAATGTCATAAAACAAATACTAGTTGGATCCAACTGTATACTTCTTAGAAATCAACATGCATACTACAAGAGAAGAATGGGCACCTCCTGGTTTCAGATCTCTGCATGTCACAGGATGGAAGGTGACAGTCGTGTCAGTACTGGCTGGTGAAGTTTGGAATGGCTACACCATAGCTCATCCCAAGCAAGTGAGCTGCTGGCTCCCTGCTTCTGAGGTTCCTCATTGCTCTTACTCAAGGACTGCTGTATAGGATCTTAGAGCGGGAGAGATTCTTATCTGTGCCTGCAAGTTCTCCAGCTACCAAAGATAATTTATCCACAGGCACTGGGTTAATCTGTACCTGAAGGTTAAGGATGGTTCCAAAGCCTGCAGGCCTGAAAACTGTGGGGGAAAAGTGTGAAATCAATCCCCTCATTGACAGGAGGGGAATTGAATCAGATAACCCATGCAAGTAACACTTCTGTGTGCCATCTTGGGCTGGATCTGAAGTAAGATTACTGAGCTTTACCTGATTGCTTTCAGAGATTACCAGTTTCATGAAAGACCTTCACGAGGATTAGTCTCTGTTGCCAGCTCTCAGATGAGTTGGTCTGTATTATGCAGAAGACTAACTATACAATCATATTGACAGTGTAAATTCATGAAACTTGGCAACCACCTTTGCAAAAGTCAAATGACCTCACCAAACAAATGTCTCTGGGTGCTTTGGGATCCAAAATTTAGGACAGAGGTTACCAGTATCTTGGTGGCACTTTGAATTTTCATCCTATTTCTTAAATTAAGCATAGTAAAGTCTCTTTCTTGGAGCAGTTTGAAAGAGTTTAAATATTATATTTAAAAGGATGGGAGAGGTCCAGGGTGTTGAAGAAAGGCTGGTCCAAAAGTTCTGAAAAAAGCTTACCCACTAGACAAATAGAGTATGGACACCAGCAATTTAAATTCTCAACCCTCTTCAGTTTAGAGTGGGATAATGGTTCAGTCACCCTCTGCATTACCCAAAAGTTTGAGGCCTCTACCCAGGATAGTGTTTACAGTCCTAGTAGTGCAGCAGGAGCTGAGTTTCCTTTGCAGTTGAACTAACATCAGGATGTCCATAGTTTTGAAAATTGAATAGAAAAAAAAAATCAGTGTTTTCAGGTGCTATTTCTGCTATAGCACAGGTTAAAGACTTTCGTTGCAATGGAGAGAAAAGGAAATATTATGTAACAATAAGATGGCAGTTTGGACTGGTGATCAACAGATATGGGAAGGGAACTGAGAAAGTAAGTGGATCAGTAAGAGGAGTGGCATGTTTGATGCTGTGAATGCTTAGCTACTTAGACTGAAGCTATCTCTAGTTTCCTTATCTCAGTTTTGTTTGTAATCTGTCCTTTGCAGGAACAGGGGGTTGCCAGCCACAATTAACAGCTGCTGAATCCCCCGAGCATCTGTGCTTATGATAGTATGTCAGAGGTCTGCTCTGCCTGCTTCTTGTTGCATCTTCCTGCTGATCCTTTTCTTAGCACTCTACTGGAACATGTCAGCTACTTTTCTTTAGAATTTTCAGCAAATTCTGTGACCCTTTGGTCAGAGAAACCTGGAATATACTGCTTGTGTCAGTGGAGCAGCTTTGTGGTGGTTTTGTGTTTCTCATGGCCAGCTATAACTCTCGCTATGGCAGCTGCATATGTGAAAAAACCCACTCACTGGTTTGCTCTATAAATACTGTTCCCAGTTATTTCAGCAAAGTGCAGAGCTCAGCTGCAGTTGCATTTGGTCTTCCTGAGTTAGTGCTGAAGGCTGGAGGTGCTCCATAAATTGCATTTACCCTAGTAAAGGTATGGAAGGGAAAGTTTGCTTTGCTTCCTATCTCAAAGACTGCAGTGAGCATAGCTATTAATTCTCCTGAAGGGTAAGGATTTCATAGCATTTCTCTGAGAAGACTTTCCAAGAGAGCAGTCATTCTGGTCCTTGCTGCACTCAGTGCTTCTGCTCTCCCAGGGGCTTCCAGGAACTGGATGTTCGGGCGTCTTGAACCTTGTTCTCTCCTCAGTGGGACAAGTAGGAAAACATCAGAAGTATGAAATTATCACTGCCCATAAACTCATCCTTCTCATTATTTTTATTGGCAGGTCCAGGCAAATGAAAGCCTTTTTCTAAGTTTCAGAAGCTAATTCTCACCTCTTGTTAGGTATGTGCTGATATAGCTGCATTGACTCAGCATACTCACTCTCCTACACTTGTGAGAGTGGGTTTAAATAAATGGTTCATGTTTAAATGCAAAGCAATCCCAAACACTGTCATTTTGGACCATGAAGAGCTTGAGTTTCCCAGTAAGCTATTGCCTGCTTCTGCCGTGGTTTTCTGCTGGGTGGACACCATTGCTCCCTGGTGGAGGTGGCAGGGCTTCAGTGCCCTTCCTGCACAGCCTTTGTGAACTGCAACACCAAGTGCCCTGTTTGCCCACCTGGTTGACAGCGCTCCTGAAGGTCTTTTTAGATGTACTGAAGTCTCATTAACACCGTGGGGAAGTAAGCATAAGCCCAAATTTAAAGATGCAGTCAACTGATGACCTGAATTCAGACCTTGATATCTTTCTGCTTTAGGCTTTGGTAAAAGCTATTGAACAGCTCACTGCATTACTCTTAACAGTATTTGCAGAATTAAATCTGATGGACCTTGCTAGAAATTAACCTCTTTGGTTTCAGAGGAGCTGTTTCTGCTGATTACTTTTAGAAATTATAGCAAACGGAACAGGATTTTTTCTTCCTTCCTTCTGTAAGCTTTTATTTTGAATCTTGGCTCTGTGTCTATTTCTGTTATTCTATATAAATCTCTTGCCTGGGCAGGTATCTGATAACTTAGAGATTATTTTCTGAAAAATGAGCATTTTTTCATTTTCTTGCTGATGCTTCTGGTCCAGGAAAGCAACTGAACAAAACAGGATACAAAAACCTATAAGAAGTCAAGGTTGTGATTTGGGGATTTTTTTTTTAAAAGCTCTTTGCACACTAGCTATCTTTTTTTTTAAATACTATTCTTAGTTTGAAACTTTAATTCTGGGCGTACATTTGGTGCCCAGATGGTGCAGACTCACACAGAAGCCCATCACGCTGTCAGGGCAGGCGGATACATATGTAAATATTTTGCCTTTTTCCCCTATAATATTTGGCTTTGTCTAATCTAATTGCTGTCAAAGGCAGAATGTGAAGAATGCTTAAGAGAAGCAAACAATGAGGACCTCAAATGTTTATATTGCACTAACTTTGGAAGATGTTGGGAGACTCTGATGTAACTAATAATTTGTTTCATGGGTTTTCTTATTCATGCTGTGAATTCATGGACTATTATCTAAGTTTATGCCAAGTACTATCTTACAACCTGAAGTAGAAACCTGAGCTTCTGGTGGTATAAAAGCATATTTTACCCCATGGAACTGTCAATATAAGGCTAATGGGTCTACCTTTTCAGTTCAGGCTGACAGTAAATGTTCTCTACCTGCCTCTTTGTGTATAGTGCTCTTTATTATTTATATAATTCATTGTTTCATTTAATTTATTCTATTGAGTGCTTGTCTTTATGTATTTTTAATACATAAAAGCATTTCCAGCATAGCTGCTTCTCTGACCATTGGTAGCTAGCAACCAACAGTGGCCAACCACATCAGGGATACCTATTTAGTTATCAAAGGCCTGATCCAAAATACCATAATATTAATAGAAAAATGGCTTTCATGAGCTTTGAATCTGACTGCGTAGTGAGAAGGTGTAATAAAGCCAGTGATAGCTGAGAATGCTGGCAAAAGGAATGCAGGAAACCTGACTGGCTTTCATCAATACAAGAACAGTTACGCTGTCCTGTGGTTTCTGATCATACGTGAAATTTGGCTGGCTGTAAATCATGGAAAGCATCAGATTACACCAGACCCATTCCTCTAGGGACACTCACTATGCAGAGACATGCCAGGAGATCAGGACCTGGAGGTGTGATTATTGTACAGGAAGGAAAATTTCTGTAAAAGGAGTATGTAATAATGTGACCAAAAGGTAACAGAAGCAGCATGTGATGCTTTTTCCCATGGAACATAGATGAAATCCTGACTGCAGGAGAAAAAAATTGCCCATTTCAGCCATTCACGTTGCCATCTGAGGCTCATTGTTCAGGCATGCCAATAAATTCTGTTTCTGAACCTTTTATGAAAGTGTCTGGGTGTCATATTGTCAAGAGACATATTGTCATGTATCCTGCTGTGGGGTGGAAAGGGGTCAGGCAAATTGCTTACTATCTGATGTATTATTTTTTTCTGTGTTGTTTTTCATTGCTTAAGGAAAGATCAAAGATGCTTGCTCTGTGTATCTCCTGGAGTATGGGCACTGAGACCCATGACTTTACAATAAGCTAAGACATGAATTTACAGTTTCAACACAGTGACTGTGTTGCTGCTGGTCACTCATGTTTCAGAGAAAAGACATGAAAGAAGGGGTAATTTGCCCAATAGATATCTGATGGTGAAAGCTGACACTCTGCCAGCTACTATAGGGCCAGACTGGGAGGTTCCTGGAATGTGTAGAAGATCACATCCAAACTCACAGTACAGGTAGTCAGCTTACCCTACAGACAAGCTTCTCATGGGCCACAGATAGTGCTGATTGTCGATGGTAGCGATTGCTTTACTCCTAAGCTTTGTTTTTGGTTGTCAAACCCATCTGGTCTACAACTGGGCGGCCACATCGCATTCACTTAACAGCACTTTTTTCTCTTCTGCATTTTGCCTTTCCCAGGAGCAATTGAGCGGTGCTCGTACATCAAGTACCACTACTCCTCAGCGACCATTCCCAAGAACCTCACCTACAACATCACCAAGACAATCCGCCAGGATGAGTGGCACGCCTTGCGTAAGTGTTGCTGGCTTTCTTCTCCGTTCTCCTTGCGGCGTGCAGGCTGAGGGAGGTGCTCACTGATGAGTGAGAGCAGAGGCTTTGACTGACGGCCCACTCAGAGCCCTCATCTCACATACAGTTTGTCTTCGGAGCAGACAAATCGATTTGTTCTCAGGACCTACATCTCTGTTTCTGCTGCTGACTGGGAATTCTGCTGAGGCATGAGAAAGTGGCAGCGGGGAAAAGGCATTTGTATGCAGGGATTAATATTGAGTTAAATACAAAAAATGAATAACAAAATCAATGCCCTATTTTTTAATTCAGTAGAATGCTCTGTACGTGAGTGGATTCTCATGCAGTTGATGCTGCTGCTGAGTTTTCTGCTTCCAGGAGAATTCATTGCTGGCTTTTATTGTAGAATATGTCCTGCCGCCAGAAGCTGCTGGGTGGCAACACTCACCTTTGAAGATCTAGGGGGAGAATTGCTGCACCCTTTAAGGCAGAGGGAAGGAGCTTAGTACTCAGTGATAATTGTAGCCAGTGGTCACCAACTCGTAACATTTGCTGAAGCAACAAGATCTGACAGGGATGGAATTGCCTTGGGATGTATTGGCTGACCTTAAATCTTGTCTCGCTCTCATCTTGGAGATGGAAAACCGTTTTCACTGATAAAATGCAAGAGGTAGGATTTCTCAAGGAAAGAGGCCACTGAAACTTGCTTTTGTTACTATATAGTCATGGGGACTGATGAACATGGTGAGCAGCTCTGTTTTGGTGGAAGCAGTTAACAACTCCTTGAAGGTGGCAGGGGTTAAGGAAATGCTAACTGATGAAAACTTCGAAAGGTGGTAGTGAGCTTCCACTGTCCGGACTGTGTCAGTTTGAGAACTGTGCTAGACCTCTGGTGTTCTCAGGGCTTTCAGTCTCTCTTTCACTCCTGCCTAATGTGGCTGTCGCTTTGGAAGGGTCCGGAGAAGGTGCAATGTTATAACTGATTTCCTGCATTGGTGAGGTCAGGCATGGTTTGAGATTCATTGGTGCTTGTAGGCCTGGCTGGTCAAATCTGGTAAAGAATTAAGAATGCTCTAGAAGGTCTTGCTAAATGCCAATTTTTTATTTTACTTTGTTTTTAATTGTGTTTGTGTGGATAAATACATATTTTGATTGAGATATGACAAAGAAAAGGAATAACTGAACTCATGCCTGTCAGAAGGTTGTAATACTGCTCTGGGCTCATTTGACCCTGAAATCAGAAGATGAGGTGGTTCAGTTCCCTTCAGGTTTTCTTCTACCAGATGTCTTCTCTGCTGGTGTTAGTTTTATGTTAACATTGCTCAACTGTTGACAAAAAAAAAAAAGCACCCCCCCCAGACATCTTCTGTCAGAGTTCATAGGGCTGTAGGGAGGGTCTTTGTGCTTTTTTTGGTGTATGTGTGTTTTTGACACTGTTGTGAGCAGCAATGACTTCTCTGCAACCATCCACTGGGAATCTCACTGTTTAATGTAAGAATTATTATCTAAAACTAATCTTTATCTCAACAATGGCTCAAGTGAAGGCTTATATACCTGGTCATGTGCATCTTGGTGTGTGCATCCCCTGGTGGGATCAGCAAGTTCCCAAACCTGGTGTGTTGGCAGCTGATGGGAGTGTTCAGTAGGGCATTTGTCAGTCTCCAAAGTGGCAGTCTAGACACTCTGTGCTCACACATTTACGTATCTGATTTGGTCTGAGGCACTCTCAGGGTGAGGCTGCTTGTGCCCTCTCTCAGGAGGGTACATGGAGTGTTGTGGGCGTTCCTGTATATTTCTGACCCAAATTTTCTTGCCAGTTCATGATTCAGATAAGTGTAGGTAGGTGTAGATAGAACTGAAGTTTGAATCTACTTATCTAAAGACAGAGAAGAAGAGAAATATTTTGCTGAAGCTCTTGCTTCTCCAGAGCAGTTATGGGCAAGTGGAGAGTGCTTGATATATGGAGTCAGCCAATGAAGGTTCTGGAGGTCACTGCATTGAAGAGTGAACTGATTCTATATGACTAATTCCTGTGTAGGAACAGCAACCTGTTTTAAAAAACTAGGGCAATATGAATCTTTTCAAGTTGTGATTTGGTTGAGGGGAATGTTGTCCCTTTGCAGTGCAGTAGGCACTTAAGACTCTTCAGAGAGTCCCAGTGATTTTAGTCCCTGCTTTAGCAGCTGACCCTGTTCTATGCCTCTGGACTAGTTTAATCCAGGTCACAGCTACTTCATTTCACCACTGCTTATCCTGATACATCCAAGTCAACCTGGCCATTATTTTCCTCTGAACAATTTCCTGTTCAGCATTTTCCTTTCAGTGAGTGTTGTGACAAACTGCAAAAGGAGCTGGAAGGCTGGCAATCTTCCTTCTCTTGCCATGGATTATTTTTCAGATCTGTAGGATGAGAGAGGGAAAAAAAGTGTTTCCATGAAACACTGGGGCAAAATAGCATCCTGGAGAATTTCAGAGGAACTGGAAAAGTGAAACCAGAATGTCTGGTCATCCTGCTAAAAAAAAAATAAATTACCTCTACCAGGTTGAAGCCACTGTTGTCCTTTGCCAGTAGTGATTATTTTCCTTCCCTAGTATCTGGGTAGCAAACTGTTGTTCCTGGGAAGGAAATCTGTGGGTTTGCATGTTTACTGGGTTGGGAATCAGAGGGAAGAGGCCTCCAGCTGTGCACCACAGACTGCTTTTTTCAGACTGGCAGGCAGGACTGATGGTCCAGCAGTTTCTCTCAAATTGCAGGAGCGGGTGAGGGACAACTAATTTGAGGCTGAGGACCTCATGGCACCAGTCAACACAGAAAGCAGATACTCCTCTAGCTGTGCTCTCAGCTATGCTGGAAGAACCCGGGAGAGCAGCTGGTCCGAGAGGAATGGTTGGAGCTGACTTTACCATTTTTGATTTTTATCTTCTTTCATTCTGTTTGACATTTTCAAGATGGAACCTTTGCTCCAAATTGATTGCTTATGGCAGCATGAGCCAGGGAAATAGGACTTGTCTTCTCTGCAATCACTTCCTCTCAACTATCTCTAGTTAAACAGGGATAGAGGGAAGGATGATTGTAGTATTGCCAGCTCTTGCCTGTCAGGAGATAAATGTTCAGCTAATTAGACAAAAAAAGTATCTATATGAGCTGGGAGGGGAAGGAAGAGGAAAAGAAAATTTGTCCGACAACTTTGAGCATGAATAACTGTCTCTTTATGGAACATGCCAGTGTAATATGACTGATGTGCTATTAGGCATTTACCCTGTCACTTTTTGGCCCTAGGCTTGTGCACAAAACTTGATCCATAGTTCTTTCATCTGAAAAACTGTAGCAGCATCATTGATGCTCTTAGAAATGGAGGTATATTATTGCATTAAAACTGGAGAAAATCTGAGCAGTTCTGTATTTATTCACACATTGTTCTATGTGGTTTATGCTGTTCTTGTAAGTTCACTTTCATTATACTATAGGTATGTGTTCACACAGGGAAGTGCTCATGGCAGCAGTTTGAGCTGTAGAATATGGTGCAGGCTTTGGGAAGGGTAAGAGGCATTTTCAGGTGACGGAATAAGCACGTCAAGATGGATGCCTGTACTTTAAGAAAGTTGACCATAAAAAGGAGGCCATGTCGATGTTAAATTTTTTCTTGTCCCAAAATCTTCATGAAACCATTATCTGGTGTATTATGGCAAAGCAGGTGAAAGGCTGTGCTTGCTTGGAAAATGGTAGTACCACCAAGGCAATGATGTGCTATATTCAGTTTGGCATCGTCCCGGAGCCAACAGTGCTGTTCCCTAAGTCACTGTGAAAGATAAGGCAGTCAAAGCCCAGCGAGTATTTAGTCTACTGGCTTACTCTTCAGAGCAGGACAGGCACCTGTTGGGTTGATGCTGAGGTTTTTTTATCGTCAGAAGGATTGTAGTAAGGTTATTTCTGTTTCATTCCTGTTTGGTTTTGTGTGGGTGTGTTTGGTTTTGGTTTTGTTTTTTTTATGTAGACTGTAGACAACCCAGGCTCTATATTCATCTTATGCTGCAGTCTTTTAAGAATCAACTGTTTTGTGTAAAAGGGTAACCACAGCATAGAAGATGGGTGCAGAGAGGAATTTCTAAGTATGCTTATGCCAACTGTCTACACTTCATTGTCTTGTTGGGAGAGTTAGGATTAGAAACTTATTCTGAGGAAGCCAAATAGTGCAGAAAAGGGAGGAAGATGCAGATAAGAGGAGAGATTGTCTTCATATGTTCTTCTAGCATGATGATGTCTTGTTTTTGCCTCTAGCTTTTGTTTAGACCTTATGCTTCCTTCCTCATTTTTACCTTTGAAGATACTTGTATTTGCCATGGGTCATCTTTGTGTCTTTGAACTATTTCAACAAGAACAACTGTGTAGGTACTACAGGATTGTGGATTAGCCTGCAGTGGGCTCAGACCTGCCTGGGGCCTCACAGGGCTGATGCTCATGGGTGTCTCTGCAGTCTTGCTCACTGTGTCTTGGCAAGGGAAGGATAAAAGGAGGCTTTTCCAGACCCACCTTCTCTCCAAGACAGTTGAAGAAATTATTGTGGCTTTAAAGTACTGCAAACAAGCATTGAAAACAAGCTGCTGATGTGATTTCTTGAAGAGTAAGATCTCTTTTTCTTGGAGAATAAGTGGAACCACTCCCTCTTCCCTTTTTCCTGCCTTGGTAGCTGAAAATGGGACAATTGCTGCATGGCACTCAGAGCCTTTGGCAGACCTCCCACTGACTTGCATGAAAGTTTCCACATCAGAAGAGAGATGAAAAATTCTTTCTTCTGTCCAAAAGCTTTTGTTTTGCTGCCTCACAGAGCCTATCATGTGAGGTAGATAGTTGGGTCTTTAAGTCTGTTACTTTTTCTTCCTCCCTATATGTCACAAATCTGATTCTGTACTTCGGATTACACATGGTAATGAAAGAGGGAATTTGTCTATCTGCTCTTCTCCAACCTTCCATTGCCACCTGGGCCTATCTTCCACAGCGACTG